GCCCTGCAAGGGCGGCCCAATCCGACCGTGTCACGGCTGGATGGAAGGAAAAAGAAGGTGCAGCCTCGGGGGAATGGTGCCGCTGAGGATGCTACCAATGCATTATCGCAAATCTGGCTCCATTACCATCAATCTATACTATTATATGGTCCCTGTGCTGAGTGGTAAGCTGGGACACCTCTGCCGCATGGAGCTGCGCGCGCAGACGGGTTGGGTCCGAGACGGTCAGCCTCGCCCGGAACAGGTTCGCCTCTGCAGAACTGGGCCACAAGCTCCGTTCAACCTGTAACCTAGCTAACCATTTAGAGCGTACCTTAGTCTATTATGCCCTGCAAGGGCGGCCGAATCCGACCGTGTCACGGCCGGATGGAAGGAAAAAGAAGGTGCAGCCTCGGGGGACTGGTGCCGCTGAGGATGCTACCAATGCATTATCGCAAATCTGGCTCCATTACCATCAATCTATACTATTATATGGTCCCTGTGCCAAGCAGTAGATCGGTAGCCCTGTTCCTCGTGGAGCTGTGCGCGCAGACGGGTTGGGTCCGAACGGGGCCGAGAGGCTTGGTCTGGCTGATGATGCTACTGATGCACTGGCTCAAATCTGGCTCCATTACCATCAAGGTATACTATTATATGGTCCCTGCGCCAAGCAGTAGGTCAGTAGCCCTGTTCCTGATGGAGCTGTGCGCGCAGACGGGTTGGGTCCGAACGGGGCCAAGAGGCTTGGTCTGGCTGATGATGCTACTGATGCACTGGCTCAAATCTGGCTCCATTACCATCAATCTATACTATTATATGGTCCCTGTGCTGAGTGGTAAGCTGGGAGACCTCTGCCTCATGGAGCTGCGCGCGCAGACGGGTTGGGTCCGAGACGGTCAGCCTCGCCCGGAACAGGTTCGCCTCTGCAGAACTGGGCCACAAGCTCCGTTCAACCTGTGACCTAGCTAACCATTCAGAGCGTACCTTAGTCTATTATGCCCTGCAAGGGCGGCCCAATCCGACCGTGTCACGGCCGGATGGAAGGAAAAAGAAGGTGCAGCCTCGGGGGACTGGTGCCGCTGAGGATGCTACCAATGCATTATCGCACATCTGGCTCCATTACCATCAATCTATACTATTATATGGTCCCTGTGCCAAGCAGTAGATCGGTAGCCCTGTTCCTCGTGGAGCTGTGCGCGCAGACGGGTTGGGTCCGAGTGGGGCCAAGAGGCTTGGTCTGCCTGATGATGCTACTGATGCACTGGCTCAAATCTGGCTCCATTACCATCAAGGTATACTATTATATGGTCCCTGTGCCAAGCACTAGATCGGTAGCCCTGTTCCTCGTGGAGCTGTGCGCGCAGACGGGTTGGGTCCGAGTGGGGCCAAGAGGCTTGGTCTGGCTGATGATGCTACTGATGCACTGGCTCAAATCTCGTTCCATCAACATCAAGGCATACTATTATATGGTCCCTGTGCCAAGCAGTAGATCGGTAGCCCTGTTCCTCATGGAGCTGTGCGCGTAGACGGGCTGGGTCCGAGTGGGGCCAAGAGGCTTGGTCTGGCTGATGATGCTACTGATGCACGGGCTCAAATCTCGGACCTGCGGGGCCTCAGGGCTGCTTAGGATTTGGGTCACGGGAAGACCTACTGCCAGGGGCTTGTCCTGTTGGTGGAAGGTAGTTGTCGAGGTGAATGACGGGGCGGGAGAGTTTCAGGGCAAGTCACTTACAAGATCCAGGTGTGGGGGCCTTGGACCTGCGGGGCCTTAGGGCCGCTTAGGATTTGGGTCACGGGAAGACCGACTGCCAGGGGCTTGTCCTGTTGGTGGAAGGTAGTGGACAAGGTGAATGACGGGGCGGAAGAGTCGCAGGGCAGCTTGATCACACAATCCAGGCGTAGTGGCCTTGGACGTGCTGTGCCCTAGCCCGGCTTGGGATTTGGGTTGTGTTGAGATCTGCTGCCAGGGGGTTGTGCCCCCTGGATGCGCTTGTCAGAGTCACGTCAGCAGCAAGCCCAATTGTATTCAGATCCAAGGCTGGGAAGCTTGGTGGCTGCCAGGCCTTGTTCCTGTGAGTGAATGTGCAAGGGCTCGGACCGTCCTGGCCTTGAGCTCACTCTCTTGGTCCTCCTCAAGCTGAGTCCCTCTTTCCCTTTCTCTCTCTCTGCCTTTCTGTCTCTTCAAACGTTGCTGCCTTCCGCTCTCTTGCTTGCGGACGCTCTCAACATCTCGTTGTGTGCCTCACTGGCAACTCCGAGACACGATGGAGGTTCAGTGAGGGATCTTGAAGGCGGTTGTGCAGTAGCTCCCCCTCATCTCCAGTAATGCCCCTGCCCTTTTGCTCAATGGAACACACCCAAATCACTTTACCTGGCACGTATCTGTTGGCTCCGGTCTCTCCCCCACAAGTTTGCCTTGCCTTGCCTTGCCTTTTGCTCGACAACAAGCGTGCCCTTCAGAATGGCCTCATCACGCTAGGTCACTATTTGGGACCTTGCCAGCTACCTTGTGCCACGTGGATGGGCTGGTCTAGGTCAAGTCAGCAGTGAGCCTGTTTGTAGTCAGATCTTCCAAGGTTGATCCGTAGAGCAGCAGGCTGGCTTACCTCTGCCTTGTGGACCTGCACAGCTCAGTTATACTGCCCAGTGGTCCACCTGCAAAGCAAAAACCTGCAACCCAAAATCAGATTTTGCCCCCAGCGAGGGTTAGGCCCGGAGCCTAGTCATGGCAGCACACTCACTCCCAACCAGTGGCCATCATCTTCACCAGTACTGAGTGATCTGAGCCAAAAATTTGGAAGCTCCCACGGCTTCGGAGCCCTTGGGAATCAAAGGCAGGCGCAGGTCGCCAGGGGTTGGGGCCAAGCTTAGAGCCTCTCTGACATTCCAACACCAATGCATCTGTGCAGTGCACTGTATTCTGAGTGCTCTAGAGCAGGGTACAGCAGATGGAGCTGTAGTAGAAGGGCAGAGCTGGGCGTCTGAGTTGGCCTTCCCAAGTTGCTGCCTCTGGTCCGCACCCTCACCCAGGGGCCCGGCAGCCCTGTCAATCTTGCAACATGCTCTGCAGAGGCATATTGACAGGAAAGAGGTGCCCCCGGAAACACCTCTTGCCCTGAGCTACAGGCGGACTCCGGGGCTCCGGGGCATCCCGAAAAAAAAAGTTGACCACGATGGGGCTCGAACCCACGATCTCCTGATAGTTACGCGCGCTGTCTCCGGAGTTCGGAAGACGAAGCGAGGTCGTAGTCAGACGCCTTGCCATTGGGCCACGCGGCCAGTTCATGTCGATGTGGCCGCTTCTTGACATTTAGATCAAGCCCAATAGCGAGGCAGGCAATGCGTGTGCCCACGCCGTGCCCGGCGGCGGTATCTGCCGCCAAGAACCCCATGAGTGGAGGCACTAAAGTTTGGGTCCACTGACAAGCTTGCACAGGGGCCTGGCTGGGCTCCTCCTAGGAGTGGTGCAGCAGGCCTGCCTTAGTGCAGTACTCTGCAGCCAGTGCTCACCGGGTTGGTTTGTCCTGCACTGTGTCAACAAGTCCATGCGGCAAGCCTTTCCGGGCAGTCTCCCTGTTGAATGACGGCCTTTCGCGCATCTGGCGCCTGTGCCTGGGCCAACAGTGCCGCCAACCAACAAAAGGAAAGGGAACCCCGGTGCGAGGCAAAAGTTGATGGCCCTTTCCGGGATTGAACCGGAGACCTGCAGAATTGTGCGCCGGATTGAACCGGAACTTCAGTCTGTCGCTCTCCCAGCTGAGCTAAAGAGCCGTGATGAAGGCCTGAGTGCAAAATGTACGTTCCAGTGCAGGTGCAGGGGCATGGCGAAATCACGCCGACTTGGATGGGCAGGAAAGCGCTCAAGCCGCTTCTGCCAAATCAACTGCTGTGCCCGGAGGGCCGAGGGCCGCCGCCGGCGGCCGAGGCCGGCGGGCCGCTCCTCCTCCTTCCCTTGCGTAGCTCTCTCTCTCTCTCTGCAACCTATCTCTCCCTCTCGCGCCTGAGGTCTCGTGAGAGCGTCGCTGCAGCTCCTGTCCTCCCTGCGATACCGAGCAGGATGCTGGCGCACATGATCTCAGAAACAAGGGTCAGAAGGGTGAGCAGGTTGTCAGTTCAGCCCAGAAGAAATACAAGGAGAGAGAGAGCATGGGCCGCATGTCCCTTACCGCCAGCTGCTTGCGGAGGCACTCTCATTGCGGTATCGCAGGGAGGACAGGAGCTGCAGCAACGCTCTCACGAGACCTCCGGCAAGAGAGGGAGAGATAGGTTGCAGAGAGAGAGAGAGAGAGCTACGCAAGGGGAGGAGGAGGAGCGGCCCGCCGCCTCGGCCGCCGGCTGCGGCCCTCGGGCCTCCGGGCACAGCGGCCGAAGTGGAGCGTGTACAAAGCTTCGCCCCGGTCAATTGCCGGAGAGGCGGGAGGAACAAGGAGGAAGTGCGGTAGTGTGTTTAAGACCCGGTGTCTAGTTGAGGCCAAGATATCCAGGAAACAGGCCAGATGCCCGAGCGGTTAAGGGGATAGACTCGAATCTCTTCGCCATCTATTAGGCTTTGCCTGCGCAGGTTCAAGTCCTGCTCTGGTCGAATATCTTTTTGCTGCGATGCAGAACTGATCCAGGTGAGAAGGGCGGCCGGATCAGACGGAGCCGCCGACGATGGTCGCGGAGCAACGTCCGCAATTCATTTTCCGTTGTGCTAACAATGTGAGCAAGTTTGAGCCCCTTCGCATCGGCTAGGGGATCTAGCTCATCGGTAGAGCGCTCGCTTAGCACCTCGTGTGCGAGAGGCGCAGGGTTCGACTCCCTGGTTCTCCAATCTTTTGCCGCGACCGCACGTTTTTCCATCCTGGCGCACAAGCTCGAGTTCAGCAAGGCACGGACAGGCTGGCCGTCCGGCTCCCTCCCGCTGCAGCACTGTCGCCCGCGAGCAAGCGTGCTGCCAGATGTGGGAGCTTCCGGTGTAACTGCCGGGCTCCCCCTCGCGAAACTGCAAAAGTAAGCGCCTCCCTGCGGCAGCAAAAGCGCACCCCAGCCGGGAATTGAACCCGGGTCTTCTCGGCGCTTCGCTCTGGGCGCGTCTGCGGCAAAGTGAAAGCGAGGTATCCTAACCACTGGACTACTGAGGTGTAATGTTGGGTCACAGGCCGTTTGCGTACTATGAGTGTCAACCCACCGCGGGAGGAAGGGGCGGAAAGCGCAGCCGGCGAAACGTAGCACGGGAGGTGCTCTCGACGCGCATCAAAGGAACTCTCGCCTGCTCTCGACCTGGCCGGCTCGTCAAGGGAGATTCGAAAAACACGACGCAATACAGGACGCCAGCGCAACAGAGCGGCCCGGACAAAGACAAGACTGCGCCCACCCGCGCTCGCGCGGTTTCCTCCTCCCTCACAGGCTCTTGAGCCCGATCGCGGACCCGCGGACTCGAGCGACGGCGACGAGCGCGAGGATCGTGTCTGCATAGGGGGCACCGAGGAAACGTTAGTCAGGACGCGACGCCGAGTCGGCGATCGAGACGACGCACAGGCCTCGAGAGCGTCCTTGATGCCAAAGAGGAGCGCCTGCGACAAGACGGCCTTGGTGATCTGCGCCTGCATGCCCTGTGTGAGGGGGGGACGCACATGGACCGGGCGAGGTCAGGTCGTGCGAGGGGGCCACGAACGAGAGGACGGAAGGGACGTACCTGGTACCAGCCCGTGAAGCCCTCCTCGCTGTACACCTGCTGGAGGCAGTCGATGGCGCCGTTGTAACGCTCCTTCTTGGGCTTGCCCGTCGCGTGTCGCGCCTGCCACGTCGCGTCGTCGTCCTCGTCGTCGTCGCCGGCCTGCAGGCGCGTCTTGGCCATGATGTACGGGTACGTGACCTGCGCACGAGGAGAGACACCGGTGTAAGTACAGGATCGTGGACAAGAGTGCCCCGTGACAAGGAAGAGAGCGAGGGACGCACCACGGTCGCGAGCGTCTTGCTGAGGGCGCCGACGACAAACGCCTTGAGCGGCGTCATCTTGTCGCCCGGCTTGAGCGACAGCGTCTTGATGCGCTCAAACATTCCGTACGTGATCGCCGGGTTGACGCACAGGACGAGGCTCGGCTTGAGCCCGCGCCACAGGCCCGTGATGCCGTCGTCGCGCAGGATGTGGGCGATGGCGCGGCGGAACGAGAGGTGCTTCTTGGCGAGCTGCTGGCGGGTCGCAATGACGCTGACGGGAATCGTAAAGACCTGGCCAAGGGCGGCGGCAAGTGCGCCGAGGAGGAGCTCGGTCCTGCGAGCGAGTCCGAGTCGATGTCAGTCTCTGCGCTCTGCACCTCTCTCGCCCAGGATAGACAGCAAGACGCACGCAGTCGTCATGACGGCGAGCGGGAACTTCTTCTGATACGTCGTTCGGACGAGCGTGTAGAAGTAGAAGTAGGCGCTGTCGAGGGAGACGAGGAGGGTTCAGCGACGCTAACTCTACCTGGAGAAGAGGGGCGAGGACGTACAACTGCATCGAGAACGAGTTGAGCATGTTGGCGCCGAAACCGCGGTAGAACGCCTTGGCGCCGCCCTCCTTGAGGATGCGCAGGGCCATCTGGCGCGCCGTCGTGTGCTTGTGCGGGAGGTGCTGCGGCGCGTTGGCCCGCTTGAGGCTCGGCGCCGTCGTCGCGCTCGCAATGGCCTCCTCGATGGCAGAGATCTCGGTCTGGATGCGGGTCTTGACGCTGTGTGCGGCGAGGCGAACAAGGTCAGCGACATCTCGCGCACGGCGGCAAGTCGGGCTCGGGACAAGGGAGACGAGACGTACGTGTCGAGCGGGTACCTGCGAGCGCTCAAAGAAAGGTCAGCCCCGTACGGCACAGAACCGAGTCGACCCATGGGCGAGCGAGACGACGTACACGACTGCTCCCGAGACGACACCTCCCACGGCGCCGACGACGGCGTTGCCGAAAGGCGAGAGCGACGGGGCCATCACTGTGGCGTCTGGCGAGTCGACAGAGGGCGGAGCGGGTTTATCTGAGCGCTGGCGGGCGCGAGAGAAGTCGATGCGAGTTGCCGATGGTGGGGAAGCGCGAGGGAGCGGTCTGGCAAAGGCGTGGGCGGCGTGTGAGACCGGTGTGGCTGCGAGGACAGTGCGTGTCGACTCTGCGGTGCGCTCAGCGGCGAGCAGGCGAGTTGTGTGGACGAGGGAGGCTGCGCCGTCCGGCCTCGGCGCAGCTCGCCGGTCAACTCCAGAGGCCGGAACTCGCGCGCTTGCCCGCGGCCTCGCGCCTCTCCCACCGGCGCACGTACGCAGCTCACGACTTAAGCTGTGAGCCCGTGCTCTCGAGAAACAAGTGTCGAACTCGCCTCTCTCGCCCGCAAAAGAGAGAGGCGGCTCGACCGGCCGGCCGAACGTGCGCCGAGAACGCCAAACTGGGGAGTACAGCTCTGCCGTTGCAACATTGTCCACTCCCACGACTCATGCTGCGTCCACCTCGCCCAGGTAGATGACGCCCTCGACTCCGCCCGACGCGAGGATCGGTTCTTTTGGCGAAAAGTCGGTCGCGGCGACCGTGCCCGTGTGCCCGGGAAGCTGCGCGAGGACGAGGGGGTGGCCAAAGTCAGTGCTCGTGCACCTGTGGCTCGCGAGCCGAGCGCCAGACGGCCGCACCGCTGAGCGAGCGAGAGAGAGAGAGGAGATGAGGGCGGACGCACCTTGTACCGGATCTCGCCCGTCGTCGCGTCCCACACCGTCAACGCCCGGTCCGCTCCTCCTGCCGCCACCATCGTGCCCGTCTGCCCTTCCGGCGTCACGTGTCGGCTGAAGCACGCCTTGCGCAAGAGCTGCTCGAAGCCGGCGGGCGCGCCGTAAAAGGACCGCACGAGGCGAGGGTGCAGTGCCGGGTTGGCGGCGTTGACGGTCGGCGCGAACGGCTGGACGGTCCACAGGTGCAGGGTCGAGTCCATGGCGCACGACAGGAGCTGGGACGAGTTGGGCGAGAGGGCGAGCGACGTGATGGTGTCGCCGTGTGCTCGGAGCGAGTACGAGATGGCGTGCGACGTGAGCGAGAAGGCGTGGACGTCGTTGTCGATGCCGCCGATGAAGAGCGTCTGGCCGTCCTCCGACCACTTGACCTGCGCGAGGGGGAGGCGGGAGAAAGGGCGAAAGGGTCAGCAACGAGCCGCAGGCCGGGGCCCGGCCGTCGCCGTCTCGGGCACAGAGGGAAAGAGAGAGAGAGCGTGCGCACCGTCGTGATGGGGAAGCCCAGCTCGACCACCTCGATCTCCTCCTTGGCGTCCTCGCTCCAAACCCTGACCGTCCCGTCGTCGCTCGCGCTCGCGATCAGTCCCTGCGCTGCTCCACCGCGCTGCACGTCGACGCAGTTGACCATGGCCGAGTGCCCCTTGAAGCGCCGGATGACCTCGCCCGTCTTGAGGTCGAAGAGGAAGACGGTGTGGTCGGAGCAGCCGGCGACGAGGGTCGAGGGCGAGTGGAACGAGATCGAGGTCGGGACGCCCTTGCCCGTCTTGAGCTGGCCGTAACTGCAGCACGCTCGACGAGGTCAGCTACTCGTGCGCAGTCTGGGACGAGGAGGCGGGCAGGGACGCACTTCTGGCAGTCGCCGTAGACCCGCCACAACAGGATGGTCTTGTCGGCCGCCGCTGACGCGAGCACGTCGCCGTCGGGCGAGAACTTGACGTCGAGGATCTCTGCCGAGTGGCCCTGTGGCGTGCGCGCACGCGGGTCAGCGAGGGATCGACACCTTGGTGGGTGGGGAGGGACGAGGAGGGGGAGATGAGGAGGAGGACGGGGCAGGACTCACGCGCAGGCACATGATGGGGGCGGCGAGACCCGACGTGCGCTTGATGGTCTGGATGAGCGCACCCTTGCCGCCCTGGGCATCTGGCGCAGCGACGACGAGCTCCTGCAGCGATGGGTCGTCCTCCTCTGTCCTCAGCCGCTTCGAGAGCGCGAGCGACTCGGACTGCGGTCGCTTCAACACTGCGGGTACGGCGAGTCAGTTCTCGATGCTCGACGTGCGAGCTCTGGCTGGCGACTCACTCGCGAGGGTGGTGGTGGTGATGAGGCGAGGGAACGACGGCGCAACTGGCGGGTGGTCGGCTCCGCCCACTTCGCTCACCCACGCTGGGGTGACGCTGCAGGCTTCCTCCCGCTCGTGTGCTGCCACACAGCGGCAAGGCGCGCGCCGCCTGCCCGCGCACCGCCCTCGTCACGACCCTCCCCTCGCCCTCCTCCCTCGACCACGCTCCTCGCCTTCCAGCACGGCAACAAGCCTCTACTGCACTCGCAGCCGCCTACACCTGCTCCGCGCCCTGCTCGGAGGCCGCTGCCGGCGGCTGGGCTCACCGCGTAGCTCGCTGCGCGCAATCTAGCCTGGCCGCTGTCAGGTCTGCGCTTCTGGACCTACGCTATCGCCCGCGCGCCCAAGAGTGGCAGCTCCTCCACGAGGGCGAGCTAGCTGTCGCGCTTCTGCGAGCACGGACAAGCGCTCTGCAGGCTGCGCTGCGTGGACGCGCTTTCTCGCGAGCTTGCCGTTCTCCCGCTCTCCCTCTCGCTCTCGACCTCAATCTGCTGCCGCGATGCTGGCCCGAGAGACACTGAAACAAGGGCACGTCGTTCATTCGGCACTGAGGGGTGTACAAGGAGGGACACGACGAGAATTAAGCGGAGAGGAAAAGCGAGGGAACTAAACGTCACGCGGGACTCATGAGCGTGTCGCGGCTGAGGGCCTCCTGCATCGCTGCGTTGTTGATGAGGCCGTTGTCGCCCGAGCCGTTGCCGCCACCGCCAAAGAGGTTCATCTGCGCGTGGTCCCGGGAGGTGAGCTCTCTTCGGGCGGGCGAGAAGAGGGGGAGGGAGGAGGCGGCGGCGAGTCGACGCACGGGAACAAAGATGACCTTGGCGTTGGCCGAGCGCGCCATGCCTTGCAGGGCCTGTGGGAGCGAGAGAGAGCAGTGTCAGTTCTGCGGCCTCGCCGACGACGAGCGAGTCCGAGAGAGTCGCACGGACCTCGAGCTGGCGGATCTGGATGGCGGCGCTGCTGCTCAGGATGTCGGCGGCTGCGGAAAGGCAAGTCGTCAGTGCGCGTCGCCAACACAGGTCGCCGAGAGAGAGCGAGAGAGCGAGAGGGTCGACGCACCCTCGCGCATGAGCCGCGCCGAGTCGACCTCGGCCTGGGCGGCGATGACCTTGGCCTCGCCGAGACGGCGCTGCTGCGCAGCCGACGAGAGCGACGCCTGGACCTCGGTCGGGATAGCGATGTCCTTGATGAGGAGGTTCTGGACCTGACGGCGGAACAAGGGAAGCGGTCAGTAGTCGCCTACGCCGCGTCGCACGAGGGACGAAGGAGCAACGCACCCTGACGCCCCAGTTCTCGCTCACGCCCTCGATGATCTGCTCAATCTCGGCCGCGACGCCCTCGCGGTCCGTGAGGAGGCCCTGGAGCGTGCGAGTGCCGACGACATCGCGCAGGGTCGTCTGGGCGCGCTCGATGAGCGCCTGGCGGACGTTCGAGATGGAGAAGGCGGCGTGGTACGGCGACACGATGCTGTAGACGATGACCGACTCGACGGCGGCCTGGAGGTTGTCCTTGGTGAGAGTCTGCGGACGAGGGTCAAGTCAGCTCGGCTCGGCGCGCTTGACGACCTTTTTAAAACGGACCTGCTGAACCGGGATCTCGACGACCTGGATCTTGACGTCGATGACGCTGAGCTTCTCAGAGAACGGGTTGACCTGCGAGAGCAAGGCGTCAGTGAGTCCTCGAGGACGAGGATCGGGAGGCGGATGACAACGGGGGCTTGAGCGCACCTTGACGAGGCCGGGGTCGACGGCCTTGACGAACTGGCCGAAGCGAGTGATGAGGCCGACAGCTCCCTGTGTGACGAGAGGCGCAGAGCCGTCAGTCGGGCTGCCCGTTGCGGCACCAGATGGGTCGCGAGGCATGAGAGGCTCGCGAAGGAAGGGTCCGAGAAAACTCGCGGGAACGCACCTGGTTGACCGTCCTGAACGGGTTGGGGAAACAGACTGTACAGGCGAGGAGCGTCAGTAGGTCAGAAGCAGGCGCAGAATGGAGAATGGACGAGAGCCGGACGCACAGCAGCAGGGAATGGACCCGATCGTGCCACACACTCCTCCGAGGCAGTCGATCATGCTGCCGTACGCGCCGTGGTTCATCGACGCTCCGGGAAGGGTCTGTGTCGCCGAGGAGGGGTCAGAAAGTGCGAGGGCAGGGGAAGGGGAGGGAGGGGAAGAGGGGCGCACCTGCGCGTACGAGGGCTGCATCGCCTCCTTGCGCAGCGGCTGCACTTGCACGACAGGCCTGTAGTGCACGAGGAACGAGTCAGTCAAAGGTGCGCCGAAAGGACAGGCAGAGGGTGCGCTGCTCACCTCTGCGGCTGGGTGACGATGTCGGGCCGCTCGTGGAGCGTCGACGAGTGGTCGCCGTTGCTGTGCAGGCCCTTGATCGGCTCTGGGGAGAAGGGCGGTGCGGCGGAAGAGCTGCTGGACGGGTCGGCCATCGTTCGATGGGTGTTGTGAGCGGTGACTGCGAGAAGGAAGGCGCGGCGAGAGGGGCAGGGGAAGGGCAGGTGAGCACCGCGAGACGCTGCCGTATCCAGAAGAGGGCGACGCACGGACGAGGGAGGGACTGTACGGCGTCGGTACGGTGGGAGAGCAAGGGGCGCGCCGAGAGGAGCACGAGGGGAAGTTGGGAGGAGGCAGCGGCGCGCCACTCTCGGCCGGCCTCCAGATCGGGAGCGATTGCCATTCTTGCGAATAATGGCGAGGTTGTAATCTCTCAAGGGAGACAGCTTCAGGGGGGCCGGCTGGACGCGAGCGCGGCGGCCAAAGGTCGGGTTCCTTTGTCGTCGTCCCCGGGGTCAAAGAGGCAAGAGCAGCAGCGGCAGAGCAGCAGAAGCAGCAGCACCGTATCTACCATCCATCAGCAGAAGCAACAGGTGCGCCCCGACTCCTCCTCCGCCCTCCTCCTCCCTTTTCCCCCCGACCCGTCTCGAGCACACCGCTGACTCTGTACCGTCCCTGCCGCCCCCTCGCCCTCGTCCTACACTCCAACTGCATCCTCCCACCCTGCCGCAACCGCCTCGCCCTCTCGTTGCGCCCTCGCTCGTCGCCATCTCCGCCCGGCTCGCCCGATCCACCTCGGCCGCGTCCCTCGTCGTCCACCGACCGCGCAGAACATGGCCTTCCCCCTCAACCGTCGTGGGTGCTTCGTGTGCGGCCGTCCCGGCCACCTGGCGGCAGCCTGCACGTCGACCGAGCGCCTGTGCTTCAACTGCGGCGTGAGTCGCCCGGTTCCAAAGCGCGCGCGCGCGCGCGGTCCTGTCGTGTGCGGCGAGGGTGAGCAGAACGGAGGCTGACGAGGGCTGTGCGGTTTGCAGGAGCCCGGCCACGAGTCGAACGCCTGGTGCGTCTACCCTTCTCGCTCTTCCCCCCTCTCTCTCTCTCTCGAAGACAGCCGAGCTGACCCAGCATCTCGCTCGCGCGCAGCCCAAGCCCCAAGGTGACCGAGAACAAGCAGTGCTACTCGTGCGGCGGCATGGGTCACGTCGTCGCCGAGTGCCCGAGCATCCGCGTCGGGTGCGTCCCTCTCGTCCCTCGCCCCCCCCCCTTCGCCGGCGCAGCCCTCGTCTGACTCGCCTCGCTTCCTGCCACAGCGCCTTCAACTCGGCCGGCCCGAGGTGCTACAACTGCCAGCAGTTTGGCCACCTTGCTCGGTCGTGCCCGAACCCGTCGACCGCTGTCGCCGTCGCCCCGGCGGTTGACGGCGTCGGCGCCGTCGACGGCTCGATCGCGCCCGTCCCGGTCGCGGCGGTCGTCCCCCCTGTCGCCGCCATCCCTCGTGCGGTCCCGATGGCGGCCCGCGTCGGCGGCTTTGCGCCCCGCGGCGGCTTCATGGGCGGTCGCGGTGGCTTCATGGGCGGTCGTCCCGGTGCGTTCCCTCTCAACACCCGTCGCTCTCGCTCGACTTTGCGCGCGCACCGACTGACACGTTCGCCCCCACAGGTCGCTGCTACGGCTGCGGCGGTCACGGCCACCAGGCCCGCAACTGCCCGACTGCGGCCAACTTTGGCGCCGTCGCCTTTGGCGTGCCGCGCCCGCCCAAGACGTGCTACAAGGTGCGCCCGACCCTTTCCGTCTCCCTTTTCGCAGTTCCTCGAGTACTGACCGCCTCGCCCGCCGTCGCTCTCGCAGTGCCAGGAGGTTGGCCACGTGCGTCCCCCGTCCTCGTCTCCTCGCCTCGTCGCGTTGCCGGCACTGACCCTTGTTCCTGCCGCCGCAGATCGCGCGCGAGTGCCCGCTCAACGTTGTCGCCCCGATTGAGCCCGCTGTCCTCGCCTAAACGGCCGCCGTCCGTGCCGGAAAGTCGGAGGACGCTCGCTCGAGAGAGGACCACGCACTGTTTGAGTCGCCCGCATCCCTTTATCCCTTCCTCATCTACTCAGTAGCACCATGTCTGAGTAGCGCTCTTGTCATCTTATCCTCGCCAGCTGCACGTCCAGCCTCTGAAGCGAGAGCGAGAGCGATGAGAGCGCGGCCGACGGCCCGACCCGCGGCCGGCAGAAGCGCGGAGTCGACAGGGCAGCGGCCCTCTCGTCCGCCACACCACCCATGAGCTCCTCGACGACGGTCGTCGGCGCTGCAGCTCCGTCGTCGACAGGCTACCAGGGCGGCGGCCTCGCGCGCCACATCACCTCGAACGACCTCGCCCCGACAGAATCGCTCATCGCCCGCCGACGAGGAGAGGCCGACCTCCGCGAGCGGGACGGCCACGAGGGATGGGCGCAGACGGGCGGTCTCGAAGCAGGGCTCACGGCGCAGACGGTCGACGTGGCGGGCGAGAAGCTGCCGCCGGGAGCTGCGGGCGGCCGCAAGGCGGACGTCGCGTTTGGCGAGGAGGGCGAGGTCGCCGCCGAGGAGTGGACCTTTCCTGACGGCGGGTGGAAGGCGTGGAGCGTCATCTTTGTGCGTCCATCCCTGTCGTTCATTCGTATCAGAAGGTCCAGGCGCTGACCTCGTCCTCCTCCACCGCAGGGTTGCTTCCTCCACTCGTGCAACATCCAAGGGTGCGTCGCGCTCCCTGTCTGAGCGCGCACAGTCGAGCGCACACACTGACCTGTGCGTGACCGTGCAGGTACGGCATGGCGTGGGGCGCCCTCGTCCAGGAGCTGCAGCGGCATCATCCCGACGCCGACCTCTCGGTCCTTCAATTGATCGTCGGGCTTCAAAACTTTGGCTTGAACGCGTCGCCTTTCATCACTGGTCGATTGGGCGAGCTCTAGTGCGTCCCCTCTCCCTGTGTCGAACCTTTGGGCCTCGCACTGACCCTTTCTCGCGCACGCAGCGGATTCAAGGTCCGTTCTCGCTTCCTCGTCCTCGTCTCTCGAAGCGTTCCCTGACGCCTCGACGCGCAGCGCATGATCGCCATCGGCTCGACATTATCGGTCGTCCTTCTCGTCTGCTCGGCCGTCGCCGTCGACTCGCTCCCGGCCCTATTCGTCCTTCAAGGTCTGCTTCTCGGCATCGCGCACGGGATCTCCCTCCCACTTTTCATGACGATCCCGTCACAATGGTTCTCTCGGCGTCGAGGTCTCGTCACGGGCATCACGGTGTCGGGCGCAGGTTGGGGCGGCGCAATCGCCTCGCTCATCGTGCGCGGGCTCCTCCCGAGCCTCGGTTACCGCAACACGGTTCTCGTCTACGCCGGTATCAGCGCCGTCGTCTACGTCGTCGCCTGGATGCTGCTCGAGGTCCGCAAACCGCCGGCGCGAGCGACGCCTGCACGGTGGGATACCAAGACGGGCATGCCGCCCGGCATCTTCCGCGATCCGGCCTTCTACAGCCTCGTATTGAGCGTCACGGTCGGCGTCTGGGGTACGTCCTCCTTCCCTTTCCTCCCTCGCCTTTCCTCCTTCCCTTTCCTCCCTCGCCATTCCTCCATCGCCTTTCCTCCCCCGCCTTTCCTCCCTCGCCTTTCCTCCCTCGCCTTTCCTCCCCCGCCTTTCCCTCCCGCTCCTCGTTCTGTCGACCGAGCACGTCGTCCTGACCTTCTCAAACCCGCAGGCTTCCTCACGCCCTCTTACTTCCTGACGGACTATACCGCCAAGTCCGATCCGGTCCACGCCGGCAACTCGCTGCGCACAGCGGGCCCCATCATCGTCCTCAACGTCGGTATCGGCCTCGGCCGCATCGGCGCAGGCTCGTTTGCCGACGCCATCGGCCCGTGCAACGCCATGTTCTTCTCGTTCGCTGCCGGCGGCATCCTCCAGGCCGGCATGTGGTCGCACGTCACATCTTTCGAAGGCATCATGGCGTTCTCCGTCTTGTACGGCCTGTTCGGCTCCTGGTTCTTCCTCCTTATGCCCGCCGTCGCAGCAAACGTGCGTCCTCTTCCTTCTCACGAGCCCGTCAAACTCGCAACATCTGATTTTCGCCTCTCGCCGCAGCTGTTCGGCCTGCGCGGCCTCGCGACCATCACCGGATGGGTCGTCGCTTCCCAGTCGCCGGGCCAGCTCGCCGGCGCGAGCGTGTCGGGCGTCGTGCTCTCTTCATCGGGCGAGTACTCGCACGTTGCCTCATATGCAGGCGCCATGATGCTCGGTGGCGCCCTCCTCATCCTCCCAGGTGCGTCTCGGGGCAGTTCTCTCTCTCCTCGCCCTGCTCTTGGCGGCAGGCGCCCTGACCTTGCCCTCTCTCGCTACGCAGCACGCTTCTTGCGACGACCAAGCCTCCTCGCACGATACTAGATGTGGATTCTTGCAGAGCGACCAGATAGAACAGAGTGTAAAGATGCATTGTCCGCGCTCGAGCCCGTCCCGACTTGCGCGAGCGACCTCGGCGCGCGCCTTCTCTCCGATCTCTCGTGAGCGTTTGCAGCTCTTTGCTCGTAAGAGAGATCGGACGAGAGATCTGCAGCAGCCAAGCCGGGTCGAGAGGGACTCGAGCGAGAGGTGCTCGCGACCGGGAGCAGTTCTCGAGCTCTCGCGTTCGCTCTCTGCCTCGTGCCCGCTCTCGCTCTTGCTGTCTCGGTGCGCCCCTCAACTCGCCGTCCTCGTCGCGAGATCGAGAACGAGCATGTGACACGTTACTAAGGCAAAGGCGGGGGGTACTGACGAAGGTGGCAGCGCGAGTGAGAAGGATCGTTGCGGAACGAGAGGGCGGCAGATAGGAGGGCAGGAAAGAGGATGCTAGTTGCGAAAGAGAGAGGGAGAGAGGAAGATGCTCGAGACGAAATGAGACAGGAAGGACGGCGGGGAGGGAGAGAGAGAGCACGAATGCGGCGGGAGGGCGGCGAGGTCGGCTCAGACGGCAAGGTCAAAGCCCTGCGTCGGGTCGTACGACGCCGGCCCCTCGTTGCCAAACGAGATCATGAACTCCTCGTAGTCGAACGGGGCGACGTCGAGGACAGGAACGTCGTCGGTCGGGAAGGGAGGACCGGCCGAGTGGACGGTCGAGGACAAGAGGGCGTCGAGCTGCACGTTGAGGGCTAGTCAGGACTGTCGGGCTACCCCGAGAGAGAGAGAGAAAGAACGTGGACGCACCTGCTCGAGCGAGAATTGGCCCGCCAAATCGTCGACAGGCCGGGTCGATGGGTCGAACAAGAGCTCCTTGGCGTCGAACCCGGCGGCGCTGCCGACATCAAGCGCCGCGCTCGAGTCGACGATGACGAGCTCGTCTGCCGAAACGACTGGCGCCGCCTCCTTGGACGACGAGGGGAGCATGGCAAAGTCGTGGACCAAGACAAGGTCGGCCCTCGCCTCGACGGCGCTCTCGGGTTCGAGCGCGTCGCTGCGGGTCGCGGCGCGAGCATCGCCGCCGCCGTCGACTTTTGTCGAACGCTGTTGAGGGGAAGAAAGGAAGAGATTCAGTCATCGGTGACGACGGAAGTGGAAGAGGGCGCAGCGGAGCCCACCTTCTTGGTCTCCCTCGCCTCGCTGACCGACACCTCGAGCGACTCGCGTCGCCGCTTGGCCGTGGCGCTCACAGGTGGCGCATCTGCGTCAGGCGGCGCGCCCGCTGCGCCTGCTCCGCTCGGCGACGGGCCGAGCGCGAGCTCCTTGACGACCGGCGTGCTGTTGAGCGACAGGGTGCGGGTCGGCGGCGGCATCGAGCCCTCGCCCTCGTGCGCCTGGGGCGTCGCGCTCGGGGTCGGGACCGACGCGGCGGCGGCGGCGGCGGCGGCGACGGCGGACGCCGACGTGCTGCGCGGGAGGGCGGTCGCGCTGCGCTTGGCCTGCTCGAGCTGCGTCTGCTGGCTGAGGAGGAGCTGGGCGCGGTACGTCTTGCGCGCCTCGATAGTCTGCTGGAGCTGGTTCGGGTTGTAGTTGAGGGCGCCGGGCGAGAAGGCGGACGAAGGAGGTGTAGCTGCGGGAGGTGGAGGAGCGTGTGTCAGTCGGGCTCGAGATGGGGCGCCGTTGACGGAGAGAGGCAGCGGCCAAGGACGCACGTTGAGCAAGGCCAGGGCTCGCCGCCGCCGCCGCCAACGACTCGGGCGTCCCTCCCGCCACGCTCGGGCTCGCGCCGCTCTGCGTGCGCTGCCGACTCGTGATCTGCTGCGCGTGCACCCTCGCCTGCGCCATGCGCATGTCGATCTCGGCCTGCTGCTCGTCGCGGCGCTGTTTGGCGAGCTGAGCGGCTTGAGGGCCCGACGACGACGACGGGCGGCGGACGTCGTCAGGAGGTCCGGGCGGCGGTAGCGCCTCGTCGGCGAGTGCGTCGGGTCTGCGGGCAGGCATGAATGGTCAGGGCACTGCGCAGATGCAAGGAGAGAGACGCAGGGACGCACAGAACAGCACCTCGTCGCCCTGAAGCTCGACTCGACGGGCGCGCCGATGCCGCGCCGGCGCCGGCGCCGTGCTGCTGCTGCTGCTGGGCGGGCGACGGCTGCTGCGCCGCCTGCGGCTGAGACATCGACGCCTGCGGCTGCTGCACGACCGTCTGCCGCCCACCGAGCGGCGCAGTGCGCAACGGGATGGGCTGACGCCCTCCGAGGCCTGCCGCCGGCCCCGCACCGACGGGCGCGACAAGCGGCAGAGGCGGCGGCGGGCCCTGGTGCTGCGCCTGCATGTTGGGCGGCATGCGCCCTAGGCCGAACGCCGGCGACGAGGTGGCGACGGCGGCGGCACCGGGCGCGCCGAGTGTCGGACCCGGTCGCAGGGCGCTCGAGCGGCGCAGCATGGCGGCGTCGACGGCGGCCGAGCTCGCCTGGCAAAAGCTGCGCGCGTTGGCGCCATTGTCGACGGCGCCGGGCCGTCGCGCGGCGGCCTGTGCCCGAAACACGTCCCAGAAGACGGACCACCACTCGAAGAGGAAGCCCGTCGGCGCGTCGATCTGGACCTGGGCAGCCGGGATGCGGCGCACGCGGTCAGGCTGCGAGTGCGGCTGCTGCGAGTCCGCGGCGCCGGTTGATGACGACGCCGAGACATTGCGCGAGGGCGGCGCGACGAGCCGCTTGGACGGGCTACGCGCGCCGTCTTTGGCGGGGCTCGCGGACGCGCCGCCACTGCTCCCGCCGCCGCCGCCGCCGCCGTGGCCCGGGTCGAGGGCGTCGAAGCCAAAGTGGCTCGTCGTGCTCGCCGCGCTCGCCGTGCTCTCGACCGTGTCGGCGTTGTTCTTGCCGCCGTACCCATCGTCGCCGCCCTGGGACGACGCCGGCGACCCTGGCGACCCGTCGCGGCGACGCTGCGGCGACGGGTTGCGGTCGCCTCGTCCTCGCGGCGGCGGCGGCGGCGGACCCGAGCCGGACGGCGCGGGCGAGAGCGCCGAGGGCGACGTCGAGAACGGCGTGTTGGGGTCGTGCGCGTCGCGGGGGAACGAGGTGGACGCGGCAGAGCGAGGCTGAGACGAGGACGGGGTGGTCGAGGGCACGGCGAATGAGCGGCCGGTCGAGAGGGGCTGAGTCGGGATGCTGGGCACGTCGGCGAGGAGGGCTGCGGCGGTCGAGATGAAGCCCGCCTTCTGCAGGTAGTCGAGGAGGTAGGCGCTGTTGAGGAGAGCGAGTCAGTCGTTTGCGGTGGAGGAAGGGAGAGAGACTCGAGGAAGGGAGACGCACTGGAACTGCGTGCGCTGCTCCGTGTCGTCCTCGAGCAACAGCGCATCGACCTCAACCCTCGGCACCTGCGCCTGCGCCTGCCCTTGCCCCTGCGGCACCGCCTGCACCTGCGCGTACGCCTGCGCTCCCCCACCGCCCACCGCCTGCACCGGCGCAACGACGTACCCGTTCCCGGTCGTCCTCAGCGGCCTCGACGCCGGCACGACGTCCGCCTCGTCCGCCTCGGCCGCCTCACGCGCACGTCGCACCTGCGCCTGCGCCTGCGCCTGCGCCTGCGCCTGCGCCTGCGCCTGCGCGTCGGCGTCGGCGAGCCGCGCGGCGCGCGCGACCCGGGCGCGCTCGGCGTGCGCGTTGACGTGCGCTTGGGCCTGCGCTTGGGCGCGCGCGTCGGCTTGCGCCTGGGCCTGCGCGTGCGCTTGTGCGGCGGCGTGCGTGTTGGGCGGAGGCACGGCGGCGCGGAGCGACGGGCTGGGCTGGGAGGCGGTGTGGACGAAGGACGGCCGTCGGGCCTGCTGCTGCGGATGCTGCTGGGGAGGGTAGGCGGACATGGGCGACGGCAGCTGGGTTGAGGGGTGGGGGGACGACGCCTGGTGCTGCTGGTAGACGCGCGGGGCGGCCTGGGCGGAACGAGGGTGCTGAGGAGGAGGATGGGGAGAAGGACCGTGGCCGAGTGCGGCGTGCGACGGCGCCGGGGCCTGCTGCGGCCGTAGGTGCGGGCTCGGTCCCGCGTGCGGATGAGGGTAGTGGGACGATGAGAGCGGTCGAGGAGGAGCAGGGGCGTAGGTGGTCGGGCTCTGCTGAACGTAGAGAGGGAGGGACGCGGCAGGCGGTGCGGGCGAGCGGTCGGGCGGCGGGGCGTGCGCGCCGTACGACGCCTGCCCGGGCGCGAGGAAGTGCTGCTGCTGCTGCTGCTGCTGCAGCGGCGGCGGCTGCTGTCGCGGCGTGGGCTGCGGCGCCCGACCGCGCGCAACCATGTGCGGCGACGGCGCGGCGTACTGGCTCACCGGCCCGTGCCGCGCCTCGACGTCGTACCCAGCGCCGTAGTTCTCGTCGCCGTACACGGTCGGCGAGGCGCCGGGACCGTGCGCGTACGAACCCGGCGGGCCCGACGGGTGCTGCCCCGGCATGGCGCGCACCTGCTGCTGGTGCGGCGCCGCCTGCTGCACCGCGTAGCCCTGCGGCGGGCCTGGGGCGTACTGCGGGTACTGCTGCTGCGGCTGCTGGCCGTACGTCGCGCGGTGCGGGTGCGTGGGAAGAGGGCCGACAGGGTGCGCTCGAGCGTGAGGCCCGCCGACGGGAGGCCCACCGTCGCCCGCGCCGCTGTTCGAGAACATGGGCGTGCACGCCTCGGTCGAGGTGAGGCTGGCCGCGCTCGATCACGGCTTTGTCGCGAGGCGGGGCGAGGGCGAGCTGTTTCGCGGGCGGAGGGGGCGAGGGACGAGGGAGGTCGGTGACGAGGGAGCTGGGCGGTCAGGGCAAGGGGATGGGCGAGGTGCTGCTGGTGACAGGGGTGCTCTGGCGGTGCTGATCTGGGCTTCGAGTGCCGATGCGAGTCGCGAGGTGGGTGCGTTCGTCGACGGTGCGCGGGGGCGACGGAACCGGTTCGAGGTGTCGACGGCGGGCGCAGCTGGCTGCGAGCGGGCGTCGCTGGCGGCTAGGTGGCTGCTGATACCGTGCACAGCGAGGTGGGCCCGCTGGCTGGTTGCGTGAGGGAGCGAGGCGGGCGGTGGGTTCCGCCGTTCGAACGCGGATCCGGGGCGGTCGACCGCCAGCGTTTCGCCGAGCGCGCGCTTGTTCGCCTCAGCTCCTCTCCTCCTCAAACCTCGCGCTCGCTCCCCTCGTCCTCGTCCTGCGCTCCTTTCGCCCCTCGCTGCTCCTCGCTCCCAAGCTTCTTCCTCGGCTCCCTCCTCTCGAACGCCTTCGTCGCCCGCTAAAACGGCTCTCGAGCCCTCGCACTCCTCACGAGCGAGCGTCAGGCTCAAATTCGGCCGGCCCGTCTCGGCAGGTCTCCGTCGCAGGCTTCCTCTCGGCCCTGCGCAACTCCGCCGCGCTCGTCACCTGAGTCCCGAGGCGCCGAGGCGTTCGAGGCGTGTTTGAGGCGTGTTCGAGGCGGGCACCGAGCAGACCGAGGAAGGAGGAGCGTGCGCGCGCGAGCCATTCCCAATTGCTCGCAGCGTGCTCAGCGCTTGCCTTGCTCTCTGCTTGCGCTCGACTCGTTGGCATCTTCCTCGAGTGCAGAGGCTCGAACACGAGAGGGCCACGCTGCGCTCCCCTTGCGAGAGCCAGCCGGCCGGCCGTCTCTTGCCCGGCGGCTCGCGCACGAACCTCGCGCTCTCAGCCGCGCTTCTCGCCCTGCGGCAGCCAGTCGCACACGTTCTTGCTCTCCCTCTCGGTCCTCGATGGTCGCATCGTCGTCGCTCGCACAAGCGCCCGCAAGTCGCTTCCTTCAAGGAGCTGCGTCGCTCTCGCTCTGCTCTCGACCTCGCATGCGCACGGCTCGTGCGGCGGGATGGTCTCTCGCCAGTACATTCCTGGCCGGCGGACGTGCCCGCGAGAAGCGAGAGCGAAAGAGCGGCGTGCGACGGAGCTGCCGCCGCCGCCTACGCGGAAAGGCTCGTCCGCTCGCGCCTCGCATGAGAGTGTGCAAGCGCAGAGCCGTCACGTCGATGCAGCAGTATTTTTCAGTCCAGCGAGAGTCTGCCGCACTCGCTCGGGGCCGACAGCGAGTGCACGAGCCACCGAAAGTGGTCGCATTGATGAACACGAGGAGGAGGCGAGCCGCTCGCTCACTCGTTGCAGCGGTGCAGCCAGGTCGTTCGGAGCACTCTGGAGAGTACTGAGCGCAGACTGCGAGCTCCAGACGCAGCTCAGACGCGAGCGAGAGAGCGCCACGCCCTCGCTTCGAGCGAGCTCCTCCGCTCACGCGCCTTCACCACACTCGCCACGCCAAGGCGGGCTACACGATGCCTCCCGAGCCTCGCTTGGATCCCCACCAGGCGGCCCAACACGCCGACACGCCGCCCAGCAGCATCGCCGAGGCCGAGGTCGCCAAGTTGATGGACGTGGGCGAGTCGGCGAGCGGCACGTCGTCGTCGCGCCAGGGCAGCGTGCAGAAGGACAAGGAGGACAAGACGTGGAGCCAAGGTGCGTCCGCGCTGTTCAACTCGGTCGCGCGACCTCGTACTGACCTCGTTGCCCTCGTCTGTCCTCCACAGGCGACGACCCGGACGACGAGCCCGCCCGCAAGAAGGCCCGCACGTCGACCGACTCCAGCTCGACCTCGACCAAGGCCACGACCAAGGGCAAGGGCAAGGGTCGGGCGGGCAAGCTGTCGACGTTCCTCGCCATGCCGCTCGACATCCTGGTCGAGATCTCGCGCCACCTCGACCCGCTGTCGCTCCTGTACATGTCGCGCGCCAACAAGATGATGCACAGCGTGTTTGCGCGCCGCTCGGCCGCCCCGATCTGGGCCTCGGCGCGCGCCAACGTCGACCTGCCGGCGCTCGAGGCGACCGACCTGAGCGAGATGCAGCTCGCGAGCCTCGTGTTCGAGCGCAACTGCCACCTGTGCGGCCGTGGCAGGGCGTCGATCGTCGACTACGCGCTGTCCGCTGGTGCAAGGTGCGTCCCCTCTTTCCTCTCGGGCTCGATGCGCCTCGGCCAGTCACTCACCCTCCCTCTCGCCTTCAGACTTGCAAGCATGCCAAGTGCGGCCTTGCTCTTCTTCTCTGCGCCTTGTCGGCGCCCATTGACCTTGTTCCGCCCTCTTGCAGCCTCTGCAGCCAGTCGGAGCTCGGCGAGACGAAGATCAAGAACCTGCACGTCAAGACGCTCGAATGCTCCCTGTTCACCAGCGTGTCGCGCTACAGCTCCAACATCAGTGAGCCCTCCGCTCCTCTCTCTCCTGCCTCTCACACGCACGTGATGTTGACCCTCGCGACCGCCGCCACAGAGTTCTTCTGCAAGCCGGACGTCCAGGCCACGAGCGACAAGCTGCACGAGCTCGACGCACGGACGCTCGAGGACGACAAGACGCGCAAGGAGCAGGGCAAGGTCGAGGACGGCAACGAGGTCAAGGCCGACGAGGTCGCCGTCAACGCGCTCGACGCGTTTGTCCAGCGTCGCCGCGAGAACGTCGCCGCCGCCCAGAAGGTGCGTCGGCCGCCCCTCTTTCTCTCGGCGAGTTCAAGGAGCTCTCAGACTGACTTCTCTCTCGTGCCGCTAGGACGCCGAGGCGCTCGTCAAGTGGGAGAACTCGTCGTCCGCGTCGCGCAAGGAGATCAGCGCCGCCGCTCGCAAGGCTCGTCGTGACGCGTGCGTCCCCTTCTTCCTGCACTCACATTCGTGTACAACCGAGACTGAGCGACCTTTTGTGCAGCATCACGGCGAGCCTCGTGAGCCTGGGCTACAAGGAGGTCGAGTGCGTCGCCTCTCCTCTTCTCCCTCATCTTCCTTCTCTCCCTTCCTTCTCCCTCCTGCTTCACTCTCTCTTCCTGCGCCTAGACTGACAACTTGTCGCGTCACAGCTACGCCGACTTGCTCTCGTCAAGCGTCTCGAAACTGGTCGACCAGCCGACGCAGCTCACCGACAAGAGTGAGTTCTCTTCTCGCCGACTCCGTCACTTCCCGGCCCGTGCGCAAGCTCACTTTCTCCCCTCTTGAAAACAGTCTGGATGCGCATCTCGCCCAAGATCATCGAGTACGTCGAGGCGAAAAAGGTCGACCGCATCAGCCGCGAGCGCTCCCAGCAGCATGGCAAACGCCTCCTCGCCCTCCTCGCCCTCAAGCCGCGCTACGAGGCCCTCCTCGCGCTCCAGGTCGGCGAGGCGCACATGACCTTCCCGTCGTGGGACGTCTTCAACATCCTGCCGAGCGTCGAGCCGTTCTGGTTCTTCGAGGATGCCGACACGTCAGACGAGGCGTGGGACACGGCGCTGCCCGCCATCGTCGACGAAGTCGACGTCGCCCGTCGCGTCATCAAGATCGGCTACGCGCGCAAGCTCGTCGAGGTGTTCGTCGACGCCGGCGCGCCCGTTGACGCCGTCCTCGTCAAGAAGCTCGCGGCGCCGGCCGAGCCCGTCCATTCGACGGGCGCCCTCCTCAGCTCGATCGACCAGCCGCTCGAGTACGCCCACACGTACGGACCTCTCGTACGCGCCATTGTCGACCTCGGCGATACGGCCGACACCGTCACGGACGCCGAGTTCGACAGCGTCTTTGGCCAGCTCTTCGCTTGGTTCTCGCACTACAGCTTCGGCGCACCCCGGCGCTTCCCCGAGATCCACGCCTTCCTGCGCGACCATTGGAGATCCGCTCTCGCCGACACTGCCTGGTCTGCGCCTGCGACCCTCGTCAAGCAGGTCCTCAACGTCCTCAAGCGCGCCGGCGTGCCCAACCACCAGTCGAGCGGCGACAAGCTCTCGGCGCTCGGCCCCGTGTTCGAGTGCCACGGGTGCAAGGACCAGCAGCCCGAGTCGATCGTCAGCAACGGCGTCCAGGTCATCGTCAACCAAGCCGTCACGAAGTCCTGGTTCGACCTCGTGCGCCCAGCTTTCCCTTCCCCTCGCGAGTTCGTCGCGCCCGTCCTGACCGCTTCATTCGGCGCCCATCCAGATCACGCACGCATTCACGACCCACTCGCACGCCTACTCGACGCCGGCCGTCGGCGTCGTGCCCGAGATCCGCCTCCTCACGCCCGCCTACTTGCCCAGCGCCACGGTGGTCGTCGACACGGGCGCCACGCGAGTCATCATCCACGGGTTCGGCAGCTTCAAGAGCTGCGTGAGCATATAGCTCCCCTCCCTCTCCTTCGTGTCGCACTCTCCCTCGCCGCCTCGCTTTGTCCCTCCCCCTCCTGCTTGTCCCTCCCTCGTCGTCAGTCCTCGCATGTTCCTCGCCTACCTCGTCCCGCCGTAGTACTCCTCTCTGCGCTTGCAAAGTCTGTGCCTTCCCTGTCCTTGCGAGCGCGAGCGAGAGATCACGAGAGCCGAGCAACCAGCTGCGAGTCGTCGACCGCCACGCCGCTCGGACCTGTCCGGCGCTCTCTCGCTCTCGTTCTGCTCTCGCTTCTCAGCGCGGTCGTCTTCAGCGACGTCGAGATCTCAGGACCGCTCTCGCACCGGCGCGCACGCGGCCCCTGCGCAAGCTCGCCCGCTGGATCTCGCCAAATCCGGCGAGATTTGGCCAAGTCTCGCCAGTTCTCGTGAGATCTGGCCAAATCTCTCGAAGAGCGAACAGAGTCTCGCCAGATCTCGCGAGATGCGCCGAAGCTCGAGCGCAAGCCTCGAGCGAGTGCGCGAGTGCGCCCGCTCGCCCTCTCCTCCTCGCGCGGCGGTCCGTGCACGCCGACGGTTATCTCTCGTCCTGCGACGCTGCTCTCCCTCGTGCCACTCTCGGGGTCTCTCTGCTGCCGCTTCTGTAGCTCTCGCCTGTCGAAGCTGCGGCGGCTCCCTCGAGCAGGTCCGTGCGCCGCTCGCTCGAGAAGATCGGGCTCCCGCTGCAGCTCTCTTTTTCTCTAGCTCTCGCGCCTCTATCTCTCTCTCTCTCGTCGGGGGCGCGTGCTCAAAACAGAGACCAGCGATGCAAGAGAAGAGAGAGGGGCATGCTACGGCCGGGCGACGACGAGGAAACAGGAGGAGGAGGGTCTGCCAAGCGGGAAGGGGACGGGAAAGGGGGACGCGCTCGTGTTCGTGCGAGACGGGGCGGGCTCGAGCTGGCTCGTGCGAGTGCAGTTGAGAGCGCGCGACGGGTGCTGTAGCGCAAGGAGGGGGAGAGGGAGTCAGTGCTTGCCTGACGGCGAGGGATCGAGGGAGAGAGAGTAAGAACAGGCGGCGCACCGTCCAAGTCGCACCTCGTCTTCTCGCCCCTCAAGCGACGGTCGCAACGCCCGGGATGGCCGTCGTCGCCTCGGGCGGGAAGCTCGCGCCGGCGAGGAACTCGTTGAGGTCGAACGTGGCCGCTGCGACGGGTCGGGGCGTGCGAGGGGAGGGAGGATGCAGGGTCAGTGGGGCGTCCCGAGGAAAGGAGAGAGAAGGGGAGAGAGGACGCACAGGTGTCGATCGAAGGCATGGCGGTAGCCGTGGCGGCGGCGAGAACGGCAGGGCCGAGCGTCGAGGTGACTGCGCGCGCGAGGAGGCGAGGTCAGTGCCTCGCGGCGTGAGAAACGAGGTGAGAGAGAGGGAGACGCACCGAGGTCGGTCGACGTCGGGTCGCTCATCGAGGTCGAGGTGGGCTCGGCGGCGAGGACGGCGGGGTCGACGAGCGACGACGAGGCTGCGCGAGGGGTGGGGAGGGTCAGTGCCGCGCCGAGTGACGAGGAAGAGAGAAAGAGGAACGGGACGCACCGATGAGCGAGGCAGTCGTTGTCGTCGTCGGCTCGAGTGCGAGCACCTGGTCCTGGGCGAGCGCGGCCGTTGGCGTGTTCGAGTCGCCCGCCGTCTGCGCCGAGTCGACGCCGCCGACCGAGTCGAGCCCGGCTCCGCCTCCGAGAGAGCCCATGCCGCCGAGGGACGAGCCGAGGAGGCTGCCGTCGGCGCTGAGCGAGTCGAGCCCGCCCGGCGAGGACGAGGAAGAGCCGACGCCCGGGCCGCCCGACCCGCCCAAGTCGCCCGCCGACGCCGACGACCCGAGCCCGCCGAGGAGCGACGACAGGTCGAGCCCGCTCATGCCGGGGCCCGCACCCGCACCCTCGCCGCCGTCGCCGAACGCCGTGAACGCGCTCGACGGCGCCGAGTCCGGGTCGGCCGACTCGTCGTCGGACGTGCCGCCCTGGCCCTGCAGGTCGCCGAGCTGCCCGAGGAGGCTCGAGACGTCGGCAGGCGACGACGTGTTGGACGTCGTGTCGCTCGACGAGGTCGTCTCGGGCGAGAGGGCGGCCGGGTCGACGGGGGCGGCGGCGGCGGTCGAGTCGGTGGGCGAGGTGGTGGCGAGGGCGCCGTCGCCGTCGGCGGGCTGGGGCGAGGGGAAGGCGCCTTGAGGGAGGGGCGCGCCGCCGACGAGGTGGAAGGTCGTCGAGGTGAAGGCGAGGGCGAGGGCGAGGGTCGAGGTGAGCATGGTTGAAGTGCGAGGCGGGTCGAGGTGTGAAAGCGGAAGAGGGAGGCAGCCCAGCGTCGAGCGAGGCTCTTGTGTGCGCCGTGCGCAGTCGCTCTTGGGCTCAGAGCGGCACTGGGCTCGGCGCTCGAGAGCGGATCGAGAGCGGCGCGCAGTCGAGGGAGCGAGGGGCGCAGCGTCGCTCGTCGGAGGCCAGCGGAGGGGGCTGTGGTGCGGCTAATAGGCCGTACAACGCTCGTGATTGCTCCGAGGACCGACCCGTGCGCTCGCGCGGCGAGGAGGAGCGAGGAGAGATGAGAAGGTGGGGAGGGGGGCGAGGTCGATGGCGACACCTCGGAGCGGGGCGGGACCACTCGCAGCTGGTCGCGAGGAGTATGCCGTAGATGTAAAGCCGACTGCCCATCAGGTCTGAGCGGTTGAGCGGGTGTTGGAGGTGGGAGAGGGCCGATCGCGTGCTCTTGCGGCCAGCTCTCGCCTTGCTCCTGTGCCAACAGCGACAGACGCGCCAGAGCTAGTTACACTCGACAAGCTCGGCACCCGTGCATGCTAGCGCGCGCACCTCGACCCTTCTCGCTCCTCTCGACCTCGCGCTCCTCCCCGCCTCGCCTCCACCACCACCGCCTCTCGCACACCATGGCCACCTCCTCTACCGAGCCCAGCACCAACAGCGACAGTCAGCAGGCCAAGCCTTTTGGCTGGGACATCTCGGACAAGATCGCGGGCGAGGTCACGAAGACTGAGTGCGTCGCCGCGTTCCCCTCTTCGTTCGCGCTACCGCGGGTCGAGCTACCTGTGCGAGCTCGTCGCACTGACGTCCCCCCCACCTCGTCCCGCAGCGTGTGGTCCGTCTTCTCGCCGCTCGCCGGCCACGTCCCGAAGGACTCGCTCAACCTCGGTCAAGGTGCGTCCCCTCACTCGTGCTACGTCGCGTCGGCCGAGTCAGGCGCAGCCGGCACTCACTGACTAGGCCACGTCCGTCGCGCACAGGCTTCATGAACTGGGCGCCGCCCAAATTCATCCAGCAGGCCCACGCCGAGGCCCTCGAGCGCGTCGAGGCCAACCACTACCAGCTCCCGCGCGGCAACGTCCGCCTCCGCAAGGCCCTGTCCAAGTACCTGTCGCACAGCTTCAAGCGCGACCTCGACCCCAACACCGAGATCCAGATCACGGCCGGCGCAAACGAGGGTGCGTCCGACTCGTCTCTCTCCTGGGTTGGGGTGCGCCGGTGACTGACGCTCGAGCCCGGCCCCCCTCGCAGGCATGTACGCGTTCGCGACGGCGTTTATCCGCCCGGGCGACGAGGTTATCCTATTTGAGCCCTATTTCGACCAGTACGTGCCCCAGGTCACCTTCAACGGCGGTGTCCCCGTCTTTGTCCCGATCCGGGCTCCACCGGCCGCGACCGACGGCAACGTGCCCGCGAGTGAGTGGCGCGTCGACCTCGCCGAGCTGCGCAAGGCCATCACGCCGCGCACAAAGATGATCTGGACCAACTCGCCCCACAACCCGATCGGCAAGGTCTTTACCGAGGACGAGCTGCGCGCGATTGGCCAGGTCGCAGAGGAGCACGACTTGATGATCCTCGCCGACGAGGTGGTGCGTCCCTCCCTCCCTCCCTCGCCCTCTCTCGAGAACGGACTCGCGCGCCCTGACACGTCTCGAGCCACCCCGCAGTACGACTGCTTGACGTTCGACAAGCGCGAGCACATCCGCATCGCCGCCCTCGACGACTTTTGGCGGCGCACGGTAACGGTCGGCTCGGCGGTGCGTCCCCCTCTCTCCCCTCGTTGCCGAGTCGTTCCTGACCCCTCCCTCGCCCCTGTCGCGCAGGGCAAGTCCTTCTCGGCGACGGGCTGGCGCATCGGCTGGGCCGTCGGCCCCGCCAACCTCATCCACCCGCTCATGGCGGCCCAGACCCGCATCGTCTTCTGCTGCAACGGCCCGGCGCAAGAGGCCGTCGCGAGCGGCGTCGAGCAGGCGCTCGAGAACGGCTTCTTCGAGGACCAGGTGAGGGCGTACGAGGAGCGCAGGGACGTGCTCCTCGAGGGGCTCGACAAGCTTGGGTTGCCCTAGTGCGTCTCGCGCTCTCTCTCTCTCCCTCTCTGTATTTCGCCCTCTCTCTCTCTCTCTCTCTCTCGTCCTCTCGTCCCTCGACCTGACCCTCGCACCGCCCGCGCAGCACCGTCCCCGAGGGCGCCTACTTTGTCCTCGTCAACACGTCGCGCCTCGAGATCCCCGACGACTTTGTCGTGCCCGACATGCTCAAGGGCCGCGCGCGCGACTGGGTCGTCGCGTGGTTCGTCGCCCAGACGGCAAAGGTCGTCCTCATCCCGCCGACCGACTTTTACTCCAAGGAGCACTGGGATTTGGGCAAGGACTGGATCCGAGTGTGCGTCCCTCGATTCCTTCTCCTCTCCTCCCTTCCCTCGCCCCTCCTCCCTCGCCCCTCCTTCCTCGCCCTCTCCTCGCCGCCGCCGTCGTCCCCCACACATCGAAACCTGACCCAACCCTCCCGCACCGACAGGGCCTTCTGCAAGGACACGGACACGCTCCGCGCCGCGACCGACCGCCTCCTCACCCTCAAGCCGTACATCCGCAGCGCCTGAGCGTGCGCGCCGCGTCCATCAACATCAGCAGCATGAGCAATTACACATCAAGCAGCAGTTCGACAACGTGCGACCGAGAGAGAGAGGGGGGGACGGAGCACTCTTGTCGAGCGAGCGAGAGGAAGAAGGCGAAGCGCGAGAAAACGAACGAGAGAGAGAGAGACAGAGAGAGAGAGAGCTGTAAAGGCCGCGCGACCGACTCGTGCGAGCGTCGCACGGACCTGCTCCTGCACGCCCCTTGCTTGGAAGCCCCAGCAGCAGCAGCCGAGAGACAGAGAGAGCGACAGAGAGAGAGCGACAGAGGCCGGAAATGGTCAAGCAAGAGCGACGTCGCAGGACGAGAGAGAACCGTCGCCGTGCACGGACCGCCGCACGAGGAGGAGAGGTTGGGCAGGCGCGCTCGCTCGAGGCTTGCGCTCGAGCCTTGGCGCGTCTCGCGAGATCTGGCCAGACGCTGTTCGCTGCTCGCGAGATTTGGCCAGATCTGACGAGAACTGGCGACGGTTGGCCAAATCTCGCCGGATTTGGCGAGATCCAGCGAGCGAGCTGCCGCAGGGGCCGCGTGCGCGCCGGTGCGAGAGCGGTCCTGAGCTCTCGACGTCGCTGAAGACGAGCGCGCTGAGAAGCGAGAGCAGAACGAGAGCGGGAGAGCGCCGGACAGGTTCGAGCGGCTTGGCAGTCGACGACTCGCAGCTCGCTGCTCGGCTCGCGTACTCTCTCGCTCGCAAGGGAGTGCCTTGCTATGCCATAATTGTATTTGAGCACT